ATGGGGAATTGTCAAGATGGCCAACATAATTCTAGACAGTTCACTATATTTTTAAATTCCATCACTTTCAGTTTTCCAATTAAACTCCACTGGGTGTCAATCCTAGCTGATTTTATAACTTCATCAAAGTTTTCTAATTGTAAACTGCAAAATTGTGACTGCAATATTATCAGTGGCAACATCAATATCATCATCTTTCATGACTAAATGAAGTAACACAGAAAATCTGTTCAAAAAGTACATTATATCAGAAAAAGATGCATTTTCTAGAGCAGAAACATCAGCAACTTTAGCATGCAAAATCACTTTATCGTTGACTGGAAATTTATGTAGTATGTAATCACATACTCGACAGAAGTAACTTCTAACATGAAGATAAAACTTATTTTTGTCTTCTTCTGAAAGTTCTTCCACTACTTTTGTAGTTGCAGCTCCTATTATCAAAATCTCCATCTGATTTTCTATTTCACCATAAATCACATCACATATAGAATTGGGAACTGTTTCAATTTTTCTTTCCTTTTAGAAAAACTCCTTTCAAGATAATAATAAATATCAACAATGTGTTCATCCACATTTATTGGTAAAGAAGCTGCCCCTTTATCAGCTGCTAAATTTAAGAGGTCACAGGTGCACCTCATAATCTGCAAATCTGAATTTTCCTTTCTTAAGATGCCTGCAACACCAGTCTTCAAGCCTACCATTACTGGTGCATTATCGCCACCAAGTGCTACGCAATTATCCAGAGGGACTGCATTTTCTTTTAAAGTTTTAATAATTATCTATGCTATATTAAAGCCTGTCGAACATCCTTCTAAAGTGGGGACAGAAAGTAAACTGCACTCAATTTCTGAAGACTCTGGATTAAAAAAAGAACCAACAATTGGATACAGTTTTGAATCGGTATTATTGCTTCCATCCGTAGCAGAACGGAGCTGTTTTAACACAATCAATAATTAAAAGATTTATTTTTCAAACCCATTTCTTTAACAATTGCACTTGTTTTGGTCCTTGCACTTGAGTATTTCTTAGCGATTTCACTACCAGGAAACATTTTTTCTAAATAAAGCTGCAGCATGATCCAATGCAGTCAGTGGCAGGTTGTGCTCCAGTAAAAAGGTAGAGAACAGACATTTTGCATTAATAACTTTTTGGTCCTTTGTTTCCGATGACGGAAAATTTAATTTTTCATTTTTTTTTTTTTTCAAAACAACTCATGTTGTCCTTGTGTCTTTGTGTACGCACATTTTTGAGAACATCTGCCCTTCCACCATGCAAAATCGAAAAATCGCAAAGACAGACGGTACACATAAATTTATTACATTTCCTTGAGGAAATATTGGAAGGAAAATCAACTGTGTACAATTTTTGAAACGTACACGAGTATTTCACTTTTCTCGCAAACATAACAAAAGATGATAATTTCTAAAAGCATTTCCCGGAGGCACGTACTCACACAACTCAGGACAAGATGAACGAAGTAACTAGAGAACATCCAAATAACAGCCTTGAGCTTGCTTTGTGCTCATTGGCTAATTTATACCAGATGACATGCAGTGGAGCTCGATAACCATTGGAGAACTGGAGAACGATGTTTCTGGATACGTGTGCTCTCACTAACAAAGCAGAAATTCTCATCTGATTTGCAAGGTTTTGTTTCAAATATAATTTAGAGAAAATTCAATTGCTTTCAGATGTCCAAAATTACTTTTTTTTTTCTTCTTCTTCTTCATATAACAAAGTATTAAGCCAAGTTCAATAAAAATCGCGAGAAATTTTAAGAATAAGAAAAAGTCAGGAGAAATATATTGTAAATCAGGTTGGCGGGAAAGCGGTCGAAAATCGGGAGTCTCCTGCCTAAATCAGGAGAGTTGGCAACTCTGCTAATGCCAGTACATAAAGGTCAAATGCCATACGAATCAACCCATGTGAAAATGATTACCCTTTAGCACCATCTAATGGCTTTTAAAAATTCAAATAAATTGTTCTGTTTTAAAGTTACGTATACGTGACGCTGGGCTGCAGAGATCAATCGGAGCTCTTCGCATATACACGACGCTAGGCTGGTAGGAGTGGAATCATTGCGTTGCGTATACGGGACGCTGGTCCTGAATGTGTTAAAGTTACAGTATCAGATAACACCTTTGTAAGCATTTTTACCTAAAACGTTTTGCCATATTGAGACGACCAAAGCATTGCATAATTTTTATTTAGAGAAAAAGAAATATGTGTATGTGGGTGTATATATATATATATATATTATGCCGCTTGAAGCAAATACGAAAATTACGTAGCAAAAGAACAAAAATGAAATTTATGCTCCTTTCACCTCAAAAAACAGGTAAGATATCAAACTTTAACAATAACTCATTTTATTTCTAATAGTAGGTAAAGTATGTGCACTAGATTCCCCTACTAACAGACTTCATTGCATGCACTAAAACCCAAGTTGTTGCCTCATTCTGCTATTTCTATGCTAAATGAAGCAAATCTTCGTTACCTTTGTGGGATTAAAAGCCTTGGCATTAATCCCACATTTCTGTAACATCTTTTTTTATTGACCGTGCCTTTCGCTTAAAATACATATTTAGGTTAAATCAGGGTTGTAACTCAAACAGAAGATTGAAATTCCCCCGACTTTTCCAGGTGTGTTTCAAGAAAATTCCAGGATATCTGCATAGTGCATGTTGACTTTGCTAAGCAAAAATTAATTATGGTACACACTTAAAAACACAAAAATGTGCCAGTTACATATGACTTTATATGATATATATCCCCAAATAGGAGTTGTTTCCTCCTCCGAGGATTGAGATTAGAATCAGCCCAATCGAGATTTAAAAATTACTGCAGACATTTTGCAGCTAAAGGAAAAAAGAAGTCTATTTAATGATGTTTTAAATCAAACTCAAATATTTTATATTTATTTTGCAGCATATATAAGTAAAACATTGTGCATTAAATTTTGTGATGGTACATCATATTACTGCTATAATTAGTTTCACAAGTATGCCATAGAAAATTGTCTGAACTTTGACAGTATTATGTATTAACTAATAATAAATAAATTTAGAAGGAAGAAGTTACATACGAATAACATTAATATAAAGCTCATTACATAAGTATTCTTTATTCTATATTGGTTTTAAATTTTTACTTTGAAATCTTGCCTAAAATCGAGTGACAAACGCCTGGTGTGCCCAGAGTGGGATCACTGAAACACCAGACCAACTAACAACTGCATCTTTCTTTCACTGCAGCATTTTCTTCAATGAGCTCATTCACAATAGAAAGGTGGATGCAGAGGCATAGCTAAGGTTTTTAGCGCCCAGGGACAACTGGAGATTTTGCACCCTTTTCTGTGTGCCAAGAATGAAAAATATTTCATTCTAAAAATTTGTAACATCAATTTGCTGCCCCCTGAATGCTGCACCCAGGAACACATGTCCCCCTTTGCCCCACCCTAGCCCTTTTCTGAAGGTCAAGGGTAATGTTATCAGTTAGCTCTTTGATTTTTCACTAGAGGTTTTCTCTTTTTTCTTTTGCTTTCGTGAAAAGAAGTTTTGTTAGCTTTACGTTTTGATAGGTTTGAGTTATAGATGTTTCATTTTATTCTATAGTTTATATTTTCTTAATTGTAGATATTAGTTTAATTTTTTTTTCTGATTTTTTATTATTTTGCAAATAGATCAGAGACAGCTGACCGCTTCTGAAGCACCGACAGAGCAAAACAAATTGCCTTCATATAGTGAATCTGATTTGGATAATGGTACATATGCAAAACATGCAATATTGGTTGTGCTTTTTCAAAGGTGGGTCACTTGCTTCGAAAAGTACTACCATGGAAAAAACTAGATGAAAGTCTATCATATAGCTAATCTATCATTTTTTATTTATATGCATGTAATCATCATATAATTAAGAAGAGCTTCTTTAAGTGTAGAGTAGCAGGCCTTTCCATAGTGCAGCCTGGGTAATACTAAATCTGCTACGGTAATCAGAATCTAGTGTTTTTTAATTGTAGGCAAAATCTTTTATGTTGTTGCGTGCTTCCCAACAATGCTCGCTTCAGTGTTCTTTTTTGAAGTCTATTTATTTAGTAAGCCTGCTCCGAAGTGCTATCTCTGTAAAATTTTACTTGTGTTCTTCTCTAGGCTTGAGCAGACTGAAGTGTGTGTGTGTGGGTTGTTGTTGTTGTTGTAGAAATTCTAATTTTAAAATGTAATGTGTCGGAAAGGGATAACCTCTTACGTGGCTTGGGATCTACAAAATATCTATCACTAGCAATTCAGCTTGAAGACCAATACTGAACAAGCATCTTCTGCCAATTTGTATAACTAACTGCTAGACCTTTTGAGTTTAGTAAAGGATATCCCAGTTCACTCACAGTACAATACGGATTGGTACACACCATCCTTTTAATCTAATGATTCATACAAGCCAAAGTTCACCTCTGGCCAACTTTTGCTGTTATCCAAATTCATCATTCCTTGTAACCAATCCATTGTTCAATGCTGCGAAAGCAATAATACTAAACAATGTTGATGCCCTTGCCTAACACATAGTGATATACCAAGGTGATAATCATTTCTAAGCAAAAAGACTCTTTTCCTGTCCATTTGCAATAGATGATAAATGTCCCATAAAGGCATTGTAATAGCAAACCACAAACCTTATTACAATTTCTGAAGTCTTATGTTTCAGAAACCAATTGCATTCCAAAAGGCTTTTCTACCATTTAAGCCTCTCTCACATGCAATGATTACATGTAGGCAATTAAAATTTTTCAAAATTGAACCTGAAAATATAATGCTGATTTTTGTTGTTTGACTTCTAAATTGATGCTTGTTCAGCATGTTATTGTATCTTACTTAAAAATTTGTCTTAGCCTATACCTACAACTTTCCCACTTATGTAACTTTAACGGCTTTCCTTTCTGATGTTGCAATTTTAACATTCAGCAGTACACTGAAAAATGTTCAAAAGTAATAATTGTTACTTACATATTATTCAGAACTTTAGAAATAACTACACCATTAGTGAAGTCTTCAACAGTACCATCTACGCCTTCAATGTTAAACGTTTTCAGCTAAACAATACAAAAAAAAAATTATGAATAATTCTGTTTAGTATTTTGGACAACACAATAAAAAAAAATTTAAGCATAAATATTTACAAAAATTATGGACACAAAAATACATAATGGCATTAGCATTACATGGTGAAGTCTATCACAGAAAAGATTAAATATCTAACCATTTTCCCTGAAAGATTAAAGAGCTCTAAGGGCTCTATATCCTACACTGCAGTTAGTGACTTCATTAAAAATTTTCTAAAATACTACCAAATAACATATTTAGTGAAGCTGTAATTTTTAAAACAGAGAAATCTCGAATTTTAGAAAGTAAAATACAAATATAATAAGAAAAAATATCAAAGAATGGACAAATATTAATATCATCACTTTTTTAAGTTAGCACTACTATTTAGAAAACTCCAAAAATATCACCAACCTCTGATACTTGCATATTAAAACGCAATCACCTTGGCACAATTTGGAGATTTTTACAGATGAAAAGGTAAAAATTACTTACCGAGTGCAAGTTGGCAGTTTTTGTGCCTTTTTTTTGGGGGGGGATGAGCAGATTCACATACTATTAATATTTATTGGCAGTAAACATTATCAGTACATGAAATGAAAGCATTCTTTAGCAATTTAAAATACAAACATGAATTATTGAATATGTATCAGTTAACATGTTCTGCCTGTCACCAAATTTGCTGTCCTTTCCGTTCAGCCGGTTATCTTGGTAACAAATTCGGTTTAATCCAGATTCATAACAAAATGTTTTCAAAAAAGTTGTTATGTATTGTAATATGAGTAAAGCTAAGCTGCATTTTTTGTTTAGAATGTTTCAATAAATTTCATTAAAACTACATTTGATCACATTTCATCGAGATTATATTTATTTTTCAACTTTAATACTGTCGGTCCTGTGGACAGCCACCAGCCAAATGAAAATTCCAGTGCTGGTCCCATGGTAAGTTCACTGCCGCTCCCCAGGGACCAACGCCGGCCACACGGAAAGTTCACTGCCGGCCCCTAGGGACTGGCACTGGGTTCAACAAGTTAAAAAATAAAACACATTCTTCTTAAACTTCTCTCAAAGTACATAGTGATCTGTTTTTGCTTATAAAAACATCACAGATTCATGTAGGTCTCGGCAACAGTAGCTATCTAGGAAATGCAATTCCTCGTTCCCTTTAGAAATTTTCAGCAAAATTCTGTATACCTGCAGAAATTTTACCATGGTTTCTTCTATTGATAGCAAATTCCACAAGCTTCAAAACTAAGTTCAAGGCAAAAAATATCATGATTTGTTTATAAAAACCATTGGAACTTGGAACACAACAAAAAAGAATGCATAAAAAAAGGGCAACATTGCTTGACTGACAGACTGTTATGAGCATGATTGTCGGAAGGATGGTTATGTATTTGTTGTCAGAGTTTGGGTTATTCTGAAAATTTGTCGATTTCTACTAAGGTGGTTGCATTAATAGGTAAGTACCAAATTCTATATAAAAGAAAAAAATTTAATTTACAGCAATTATTATTATTCAAACAAATGCACACAAAAAAATTGTTTTTATTAAAAATATTTATGATAGGGAAGACAAGCCTTTCCCAAATCAAGATCTTAGATGTTCCAGTTACTAATATCATTTTTTTAAATGTTGGTTTACATATGTTACATAAAGCTAACAAAGGCAAGTAAAATCTTAACACATAAAGTGTGGGTATTTTTCCAAATACTGCTCAGTTGCAGTCAGTCATAAATTATAAAAAAGTGAAAACACGAGGAAGCTAGAAAAAAGGGAAACTGCGTGCTTCAGAGTTGTGGAAAAACATAAGGGCAGTTTCAACATCTAATTTCTTTGCATTCATTTTTACAGACATGAAAATACAGAAAAATTGAATTCTTTGAATGAATGCAATTTTGTATTACGAAAATGACTTATTGAAATATAATTCAAATACATCTTTTTTTTTAAAGATATAGAAGTAGAAAGACATATTTTTGTTACAACAATGAATTTGTATTTTAAATATTGAGTTCTGTATTTTGAATGTTATATTATATGAATACAAAGTATCTGAGTATCCTTGAAGGTTTGCAATAAATCTATATTTTCATTAAAACGGGAAATAGTCTTAAATAATATGGACAAATTGATGACCAAAACAAACGGGAAATAGTCTTAAATAATATGGACAAATTGATGACCAGACAAATGATGTCCTTTTCACATCAAAGGACAGTTTTTCAAATTAAAAATATATTGCAGGTCCCTGCTTTTTGGTTAATTTTCTAATGCCATTCACACATTTAATTATTTTCAATTTGGAACTTATGAATAAATGTGTATTGTATGGATGTATATATGAATGATGCAGGTATGTACATAGGTACGTACAGGTAGTATATACATACGCATATCATTTACATTATATTTACATGTCGTTGATATAGAGTAATTCAGTGATCTCAATGCTGTTTCCATTTCCAAGACATTTCCGTCTGTTTGTTTTTCTTTTAAATTTTTTATTATTTATGAAAGACTTTACTTTTGTTTTTCAAAGTGAATCACCAGAGTGCAATGTATTGATATATGTACTCTACAAAAATTTCACGAGCATCCGGTGAGGGTAAAGCATTAGTTATTTGGTCACGTTATTTTAGATTCTTTCTAAAAATTGAAAATTGCTATGAATTCTGAACATCTAAGCAGCAGTGGAAAAACAAACGAAACAAAAAATAAGAGAAAATAAGCAGGAAAAGCAAACAGGTGCAATATTTTCATTCATTACATCTTCTCTATAAGGTCGAAATAAAGACCAAGTTGAATTATTACCTTCCACCAGTGGTGGTGAAATATCTAAAATATCACCTTTTGCAAGTTTAGAAGCAGTTGATAATTTTGATAATAATACTGAAGCTAAGACGACAATATCAATGAAAAAGATGACCTACACACCATTTCCTAGTGATTTGACAGACTGCCCGATGTATATACACTTTATAACAAAAAAAATCAGCGCACAAAGAAGGAATTATCCGATTCCTTTGAAATTTCGCATGCATAAATTTTTTTATCAAATATGCAAATGATTCAAATTTGGTGTCTAATGAATGAATAGTGTGATCTCCAGTGCATTGGAACTGCGCATCCCGCAGATGTACTTATATATAAGGAGCTGTTCTTGAACTGTTGTTAAAAATTTCTGTTGCATTGCGATTTAGGATACCTTTCAACAACTGAAAAAAATGCCTCGTAGCAGGATTCGAGCTCATTTCGAGCAATTGTCAGAGTCTGAAAGGTCGTATCATTGCACTGAAAGAGGCAGGTTGGGCAAATCGGCGCTCATCATACAAGTCAAAGCAATGCGGCGATTAGAAGATGCTGGCAAGAATGGGTGGACAATGGCAGATTTCAGCGTCATGATGGTAGCAGTCGACCTAGGGCCACAACAGACTGGGAGGACAGAGTGACTGTCAGATCAACTGTCACAAAGCCTGATTCATCGTTATCGACCAACAGACATGCGACCCGTGCACGAGTGTCCATAATGACCATTCACAGATGGATGATAGAGCAAAATCTATACTATTACAGACCATTGCACCACCTACCACTCACGACTGCACACTGTCGAACCAGATTACAGCGGTGCTTCGCTCGATCAGGTTGGAATGATGCTGACTAGGGATGTATAGTCTTTAGCGATGAACCATGCTTCCAACTGTGTCATGAGGATCATTGAAGACGTGTCTGGAGACGCCCATGTCCCAATCCTGCTTTCATTATTACACACCACACAGGCACTCAAACAAGAGTTATGGTCTGGGGTGCCATTTTTCTTGATAGCCAGACCTTTTTGGTTGTCAGAGGCACACTTACAGCACAGTGCTACATCAACGACATTCTGAGACCTATTTTGCTACTGTTCCTTTTGCAGTTACCATGACCTTATTTTTCAGCAAGATAATGCCAGATCACATATGTCAAGTGTTGTTATGAACTGTCTTACAGCTTGTCAAACACGTCCTTGGCCAGCCAGATTGCCAGATCTCTCTCCCATTGAGCATGTCTGGGATTTGATAGGAAGGTGACTGCATCTACCAGGGAATATTGATGACCTAGCCCGACAATTAGAGCAAATTCGGCAAGAAATACCACAGGAGACCATCCGGGAGCTTTATCAGTCTATGCCACGCCATGTGGCAGCTTGCATCCAGGCTAGAGTTGGGTCAACACCTTATTGAGCTTGTTACTTTGTTACTCTAAAATAAATCATTCAATTGTTCTAAAACTTTAATCATTTTCTATTCTGTACATAATCTTCCTATCCACCAATTTTTTCCCTCCTTCAGACAACTCCTTCTTGTTGTACTTTTTTTTTTTTTTTTTTTTTTTTTGGTTATAAGAATGTATTTTCGGACTTTCAGAGATATTTTGCTAAAAATCTACCTAGGCAAAAAAATTGACAAAATAAGTTTTTTTGCAAGGAACCACTGCAGAGTGATATATAAAAACTGTCCCCGCTCTAGCTACATCCCTGAAAGTAAGCATTAATTTAAGTATTTACCAAATAGATTTTATCACATTTTATGCATCATGCAGACTACATTTCCAGCTCTTTCATTTAAGTGCAAATACTGTACAAGCTTATTCATAATTTAATTCAGTTTTCATCCAGACAATTGCTTTCTTAACACCTATTAAACTTAAAATAGTTTAATAGATGTTGCTGTAATTTAACACTTTTGATTGTAATTTAATGTTTTCAGAAATTTGCTAAATTAATCTGTTAACTGGGTATGATGAAATTTTTCGTCATGCTGAGAAGAAAGACTATTTCAATGGGTATGTCGAAATGTTTCGTCATGCTGGGAAGACTATTTCAATGGGCATGACGAAATTTTTTGTCATGCTGGGAAGACTATTTCTATGAGCATGACGAAATTTTTCTTACATTTTTTGCAATCTGTCACTTGACCGTTGTTCAAGAAAAATCGATCAATGGAA